CCAGGCGCCCCCGAAGTTGACTCACTTTCTTATACCTACGCTAAAAAGGGAGCTTTTGATCAGTGGTGCTCATGTTTGAGCTCGTCAGCATCGCCTGGAGAGCTCGTTACAACACAGATGGGTCCCGGGGCCTAAGAATTAACATCACTTCTTCCCACGTGCGGCTGCAGGTTGGGGCCCACACTGAGACCGCTGGCTCGGATCGCTGCTCTAATTGGATCCCTTGCCAAAAACCACAACGCGTTGGGGAGGGTCCCAGCAGGAAACAGAATCCCCCAAATGCTCCAAGTGAAGGCGCTTTGATGAAAAAGTCCTTATAGAGGAATGGGAAGGGCTAAGAGAATTTGAGGCCCCCGAAGGCTGGCAACAGAGGGGAGCCGTTACTAGCCTTGGGTGGGCAGGAAAAAGGGTGGGAACAGCCAAGCCACAGCTGCTTGGCTCCCACAACCCTTGGGAGCTGTGGTCATAGTAAGAAAATGAAGTCTCTGCCAGAGAAGGGCAACAAGACAGGGAGCAGGGCAGAGAAACACTGACTTTCCTCCCCACCCCACCCCCCATTTCTAGCTGGTGCCCTTCTTTGTTGATCCAGAGGGTGGGGGAGCCTGGGGGTACAGTCCTAGGAGTCAGGGCCCTTGGGAGCACAGAGCAGGTCAGAGAGGAGCTGAGAGCAGTGGGAAGGACAGGAGAGGATGGAGCTGATGGAGACTCACCAGCCCAGAAGGAAATTGTCTAAATGTCCTTCAAGTCTGCCTAGGAACTGCTGGAGATCTTGAGCCCTTTCCCAGACTTTACACAATTGACAGGTGATAGAAAGGTGTTAAGGACCCATTAGCACCAAAGAGGGACTCTTTTGATTGAGGTGATAAGAATTTTTAAAAATAACAGAGAACTGAGTAGCTTCTTCACTTTTTGACTCAGACAGTTTCGTGTTGTGGTGAGACATGGTTCCCTGGTGGGAAGCCCAGATATGTGGATGGCACCCCCCAGTGTATTGAGCAGTTCACATCAGGCGCTGGTTGGGGGCTGCCGCTGGGGGTGAAGGGTGGTGTCTCCCCTCCCATCCCCAGTCCAGCCTGCTGTAAAGGTGGGTGAAGGTAGGGGGTGGGCTCTGGGGACTGGGGTAAGCACAGGGGTGCAGGAGTCCATGTGCCAGCAGGGGGCAGTGTGCACAGAAGCGTTGCGGGAGGGACGGGTGGGGCACCCACCCAGTTGCCTTCACAACCTTCGCCCCACCACCCCTCCCCGAGTATGGACGTTCCTGTGGATCTGTCTCCCACCCTTTGCTCTTTGCTCTGAGATGTCGTGAGTGCCCACGTCTTGCCAATGTCCGCACCTTTCTGCCCAGGCTCTGGCTATGTCCTGGACAGCCCTTTGGAGGTCCTGCAACTAATGTGGACCCTTGTTGTCTTTTTTGCCTTAGCATCACCTCATTCTCCATGAAGAACATTCACCTTCTGCCTCAGTTGCCCAAGCAGGGCACATGGCCCCACTCTGGTCTCCTCCCTGTTTCTTTGCCACCACCTTCGTGGTCAGAGTCCCCCAAGCCCATGCCTCGGAAGTTATCAGGCTCCCCACTTGTCCTCACCTACTGCTGTTGCCATGGCAGCCCACCTCCAGCTGGTCGCCCCACCCACGCAGCCTTCCAGACCCTCCTGACGGGGGGCCTTCCTTTGCTAAGACCCTGAGGACCTCACTGCCTAAGTCTCATGGGTCAAGCACACCTTCCACAGCCTGGCTTCCGGCGTCCTCAAGACCTGTCTGCTCTTCCTTGTGACCTCCTACCCCTCACCACCCCCCATTCTGGTGGGATAGGGGAGGATTGAAGTCTACCCTTCCCCCATCCCACTGGGTGGCCACCCTCTTGCAGGAATCCTGGTTCAGGAATATCTGGAATGCCAGAGATCGTGGAGATGAGAGCTGTGGCCAGGGAACCCTGTGCCCTCCAACCCAGGCAGGGCCCCTCTGACCCACCCCAGGATAGAGAATGATATGATTTCAGTGTGGCTCCTGGAGTCAGAGAAGCCTGGGTTCGAACCCAGGCTGTACCACTTCCTAGCTGTGCAGGATAGTTGCTTAGTCCCTCTGATCGGAATTTGTTCCTCTGTAAAGCCGGTGCTGCCTCACTACGTCGTCGCACGGGCGTTGGGAGGTTAACAGGTGAATGCTAGTGTCTGAGGTCAGCCTCCTTTAGAAACAGACACTGAGATGAGGATTTACATGTAAGTCTGTACAAAGGAAATGCCCCAGCGGAGAGCGGTAAGGGAATTGGGGGAGGCAGGACAGGGAAATAAATCTGGAGAGAATAAGAACTCTGAGTAAGCCTAACCAGGCATCAGAGAGACTGGTGCCTGTTTCCCCACAGCTAACTTACTTATTTTCTGGGCATCTCGGCCTCTGACGCCCCATCCCAACTCTCAGCGCATCTGAAAGAGCAGAGCTGCATGCTGCTGTGAGGGGAGGGGGGAGGGGGGAGGGATGGAGGCCTGGCCCTCAGCCCATGTGGGCAGGGACAAGAGCATCGCCCCCAGGGGGTGGGGAATAGGGACTCTCTGGGGGAGGTGCTGAGTCAGTAAGCAGCACAGTGGTGAGGGGCGGCCTCCACTTGCCACCAGGGCAATGGCAGCTAGGGGCGAAGGCTGTTGGGAGGGAGGCCAGGCCTCCGTGGGAGCTGCCGCCCTCCTGGTGTGGCTCAGCTCGCCCCACATCTCCTGCCTTCCTCCCTGCTGCCTTGGTGGGCCTTGGGCCAGAGAGGGGCCTCAGAGGCTATAAGTGTGCCTTGCCAGGGGGTGTTTTAACAACAGCCGGGCTGCCAAGAGCACATTATTCTCTTACAGAAATCCAAGGGATTGCCCAGGAGATGTGATATTTTTGTAGCCAAAAAAAAAAAAAAAAAAAAAAAAAGAGAGAGAGAGAGAGAGAGAAAGAATTTCTCCACAGCTCTGAAAGCCTGTTGTGCTAGGAATGATAGTGGGTGTTTCAGAATCTGGATTCTTCATCAGGGAGCAGATAAGGACTGAGAAATTTCTGTCCATTGCCTTCATTCACTAAATAGTATATATTAGATGTCCCTAGCACATTCCCAGTTGAAGGAACAATTTTTATAAAGGCAGAGAGGTAGGAAGAACATGTTTGACAGGTTTGGAGAACAGACTCTTTGTTGTAAAGGATAGAAATTCCACCTCAGACTGGCTTAGGCAAAGACAAGGACTTAAATGGTTCATGTGATAGAAAGAACAAATAACTGGGAGCTTCAGGCATGGCTGGATCCAGGGGCTCAAACAATGTCATAGGACACTATCCTCCTCCACCACAGCACTGCCTTCCTTGGCACTGGCCCTGCATTTAGGAAATCCCTTGCCCTTTGGTGACTCTGTCAGCTCCATCCTTATACCCTCCCAGGCTCAAACCTAGTAGAAAGAAAGGAATTTTTTTTGCCAATAATTCCAGTGAAAGTCCTGTGACTGACTCTCATTGAACTGACTTGGGTCATATGTCCATCTCTGGCTGGTCAGGCCTGGTTCATAGTCCCTTCTCTAAAGCTTGGGTCTTGTTCTAACAGTGATTAGTGTGGCTTGAAAAGTAAGTCACCAGATGTGTTACATTTTCTTCACCCATCCTTTTTCTCAGAAATCTTATCTGCTCCCACAATTGCATTTCTCTTATCTTGACCCTTGACTTCACTCAAGCGCCCCTGGGCTCCATTTCCTGGGGCATGGTGGGGACGTGTCTCTCCCACACAACAACAATAATATTGCACAAATTGAGCTGTCACTAGATGCTAAGAACAAGCTCTTCACATTGCTGTCTAATGGAATCCTCACAGCACGACAACACTATGAAATAGGTGTTATTATTATCCTTGTTTTATAGGTGAAGAAACGCAGGCATAGAGAGGTTCATTCCCGAACCAATGACTAGAGTCAGGGGGGTCCTGAAGCTCCAATTGACTGGATAGGAATCATGTCCCCAAAAGTGGAGCCAGGATGTGTCAGCTGCAACTGAACTACACAGACGTAGAGAAGGGAAGGGACACTCCAAATGAAAGTCTTGTGGTGGTGGTCGGGGCGGGGGGGGTGGGGGGGGGAGGTGGAAGAAACAGAATATGCCCCCTACGCTAGGTGGCAGATGATGGCAACCCAAATTGGAAAAATTGGGGAGAAAAGGGAGCTATGCTAGCACAGGGAAAACAAACACTTGAGGAGCCAAACCACTGGAAGGGCAGAGGTGCCGTGAGCCTTCAGGAACAGCTGGAACCGGGCGCTGTCATAAGGCTCACACTGTCATCAGAGCTGGTCTTCCGGGTCACTTCTGCGTTTCCAAGCGCGGACTACTAGGGAAGGGTTCTGATTGGCTGAACTTAAGTCACGCGATCACACCGGACCAATCAATCCCAGGAAGGGAGCCTCTCCTTTTAGAACATGGCTGCTTCCAGGACAGCCACGAGGTTGAAGGTATGGCAGGAGCTCTAGTGGTTTCTAGAAAAAAGTGGAGTAAGGTCAATGAAAATGTAGGAGTATGCTCGTAGCTGCAGGTGACAGAGAACACCGCCCTGACCAGTTTAGCCACCGGGAAGCCCTCGGGGCTGGGGATTGGCCCGGTGATGTCATCCGCCCGGCACTCAATTCCGAAATGACAGTGTCCGCTTCATCCTAAGGCAGGTGCCTTCCGGACCATCAGACAGCTCCCGCAGGGAGCAGTCATCTAGCAGATGAGGAAAGAGACCCTGCTCAGCTGCAGGACGGAGGTTCCTCCCTCCTGTCAGAAGGGGTCCCGCACTAGTAAGCGTCACCTCGAGAACCTCGGGCTCCCACTGACTTGGGCTTGGGCGCCTGAGCCAGTTCTGGGGACATGGCCCTGATCCGCTGTGTCATCAGGACGCACCCTAGAACTGCCGTCCTCGTCTGGGTTCTCCAACCGATGGGCGTGGGGTGGGAGGTACTCCAGGTGGGGCCACCCTGCTGGGTCCCTAATCTCACGGCCGCTCTGACCCTGTCCTGCAGGGGTCCTGTGGCTGTCAGTGGTCTCCGAGGTGCTCTATATTCTCCTGCTGGTGGTTGGCTTCAGCCTCATGTGTCTCGAGCTCTTTCACTCCAGCAATGTCATCGACGGCCTCAAGCTCAACGCCTTCGCAGCTGTCTTCACGGTGCTGTCAGGTAAGGGGGAGGGCCTCAGGAAGTGGAGCCTAGCCCTGGGCTTCAGGCGGAATGGACTGTGGGTGCGGGAGCTGCCTTGGAGCTGAGGCTTGGCTGTGCCCTGCCCCCTCACCCTCCAGCTGGGTGACCTTACACCAGTCACTTACCTTCTCTGAGCCTCTGTGTTATAGTTTGTAAAATAGGATTTATCTGCTCACTTATTCATGCCTTTGGTGGTTATTGAATATCTATCACGTGCCAGGTGCTGGCCTAATCATAAGGACTGGTGTTTTAGAAAGGGACAGTTGCAGCTTTGGTGGCGTTTCCCATGTGCAGGAGAGAGAGGTGGATTGGCTAGAGACATATTCAGGAGCTGAACATCTTACAGCCCGTGATGGATGGTATTTGCGGGACAAGGCAGAGAGAGATGCCTTATGAGAATGAGTGGATGATGATGTCTTCCATAGGGATATGAAGGGGGGAGCCCTTTGGGGGAGGCAGGCCCATCACTCATCTGCTTTAGTTTATGTGCCTCTGAGACATTCACGTGGAAGCCGAGGGAGCCAACACTTCTGGAAGCTCAGGGACTAGCATGGGGGTGGGCAGAGATGGTGCAGAAAAGCCCCAGAGCCGGGGATTTTGAAGGCTTTAGGGAGAATGGGTTGGCCACCCTTGTGAAAGGACTCAGGGAGGTGGAGACAGACGACTCCAAGAAAAGGCCACTGGATTACGTGGCCAGGTGTCCAGAGTTGTTTCAACAGATCCAGGTCAGGAGGGGTTAAGAAGGGAATGTGCCAGAGGGAGTAAAAGGAGCCTAGGAACCATAACTTCAGGCGGTCTGACAGATATAGTGGTGGCTTGGCTGTGTAAGATATCTGTTCCTAAAAAGCCAAATGTAAATTGAATTTCTATAAGTCTAATCCCATTCTTCATGCATTGGAAGAACCCTCTATTTAATGAAACTGAAACGATGAGCCTTTTGGTAAGGGAAATAATCTCCCCCTAATTGAAGTGTGTGTATCTAACAGAGGGACCCCTCAAAGATCGTGAGCTGAATTCAAGAGATTACGGCACACCCCACAGATCAAAACACACGTGACTTGGCATTCTTGGGACGTGGAAATCTAACCATCACAGGAAAGGAAAGCAAAGAAAAAGAGAGTGAGCTTCATGGCATAGTGTTGTTTTGGGTCCTGTTCACACCATTCCTAGCTATCGAACCATGGACTATTCTGGACCTATTTGTTCTTTTTTTCCTCCCTCCATCCTGTAGTGATTTACTCAATATTAGAAGAAGGCCTGAAGGACCAGGTACTGGAGGTTTGGGGGAGTCAAAGGAAAAATGACTGCATCTTCACCCTCCTGAAGTTTGCAGTCTTGTGAGAGACAGCCTCATCAAACAATTAGAAAATAGTGGGTTGACCTCTGTGTACCGGGCCCAGGGGGGGGGATGGGGGATGGGGGATGGGGATGGAGAAGGCATCCCTTTGAGCTGACACTTGGAAGAAAACATAAGAGTTTCCCTCATGGACAGCTTGGGGAAGGCATTCCGGATAGAGGGAACAGCATGGGCAGAGGCCTAGTGGGGTGGCATATTCTGGAAACTCCGAGTTGTTCAGAATGATGGGAAGGCAGAGTAGAGAGAGCGAGAGAATCGAGAGATAAGGCAGGAGAGCTGGCTGAGGGAGGGTCTTGGTGCTTTGCCATGATCTTCAGATTTTCCCCTGGAGACGACAGGGAGACATCAAGAATCCGGAGCAGAGGGGCTATGGTCAAATGTGCATTTGGGGGTGAGGGCTCTGGCTGTGGCAAGGATGGAGTGGAGCAAGAGTGGAGGCAAGGAGACTGGCCAGGAGGTTAGAGAGGATGCAGGGGCGGTGGGAACAGGCACACCTGCCCTCTGTCCGGCTAGGAGGTGAGGTGAGCAGGGTTGTAGACTGCTCAAGAGAGTATGGGTATGGGTATGGAAAGCAGAGGACCCAGGGCAGCTTCCTAGCTTGGAGTCCACAGAACTCAGGGGGTCCATGAGTCGGGTGGGGGCTAATGTTCCAGCCTTAGTTCCTGAACTTGTAACTGACATGCAGTAAGTCCTTCAGCAGTGAACGGAGACAACAGAACTCCATAGAGGGGAGCGCCTGTGGTGTCGTCACCAGTAACAGTCTGTGTTTTGGCTCTCCTGTGACAGTCGCGGCAAGTACCTTGAGGTGCGTTCATTCCAAAGTGAAAAGCTTACTAGAGCTTTTGCAGAATGCTGTTACCTAGGGTGTTAATGAAGAAGACAAATATTCCAGTGCCGCACACCTGTTTGAATGTTTTGCTAACTAGATTTCCATAGAGCTCTCTCAGCCTATGTGTTTTACTTTAGGCAGCCAGAAACATGATTCTGAGGAGCACTCTGCAGGTCCAGACGGCCAGAGCCTCTCACCCGGGATCCCCTGGCTGGCTTCTGGCTGGCTTCTGGCCAGGGATGGGACGAGCGGTGGATCACCGAGACGGGGAAGGTGGGAAAAGAGCAGGTAGTGGGAGGTGATGGGTCTGGTTTGAGCAGGTGGGCTGTGACACGCTGGTCCCTCTCCCTTGGTGGCAATTTCACGTTTTCTTTCCCCGCTCCAAGCTCGAAGAAAATCCCCTCCATTATCCCAAGCAGCCAGCCCTCCCCCTCCCCCTGCGCCCTCCAGTCACACAGTAAGAGCTGGTGGGCAGCCCGAGAAGGCATTTCCAGGTCTACACGCAGACCTCTCGTGGGGTAGGAGGTGCTGGCTCTTCCCCTGCCTCAAAGGGCTTAGCAAAGTTTTCGCCCCTCAAAACAAAGCAAAAAAAAAAAAAAAAAAAAACCCAGAGCCCCACTGCTAAAGAAAATAAGATTGTCTGCCGTAATTTCAAACAGATAAACAATGCAGGGCTCACGGAGGTTAATTGAGTTGCCCAGGGTCACACAGCTGGTCAGTTGTGGAGCCAGGATTAAACCCGGCTCCTGCTGGCCTCAAAGCCCTGTGTTCTTTTCATAGGATCGAGCAGCAGGGGTGACTGGGCTGGAGGGAGAAGACTTTCAAGTCTTAAGAAAACAGTAACTAAGAAGCATGTGTGAGCCAGATGATGTCAGAAGACCGAAGTAGCCAGTGGGGGAGAGAAAGGATTTTGTCTTCATGCCTGGGAGAAGGTAGACAGGCAGGCAACAGGACACCAGCAGAGAGGCTACCCGGTCCCAGGAGCCCCTGGCCTTTCTGGAGCCACTTGAGAACAGGGCAAGGGGCTAGGAAGGCCCTGGAGGAGAGGGGTGGGCTTCCGGTCGGCTCTGATGGGAGGCGAAGGATTGGGCAAGCCCATTGACCGAGCCCATGGGAGGGGGCAAGGGCTGGGCTCTGAGGCTGCCAGACCAGCTCACACAGAGGGGTCCTCAGCCCAAGGTCAAAGCCTTCTAGGATAGAGGGGAAAGCAGACTTGGGGCATCCCCTACTTAACCCAATTATTATAACCAGTTATGACAACGAACCAAATGATTCTGATGGCTCATAAGAGCCAGTGCTGGCTGAGAAGCCAGGAGTACCGGCACTGGGCTCGGCCTGCCACGTGGTGTCCTTGCGAGGAGGGGCTAGCACTGCGCGCATCCCCTGTTAAACCCCTGGCCGAGCCTGCTGCATAAGGCGCTTTGAGCAGGGGGTGGGGGGGACTTCAGCTTGTCCTGTTATTGTTCCCAGCTGTCTTCCAGTAAGTACATCGAGGGGCGGATCGTGGCCCAGGGACCAGCCCTGTCCCAGTGAGGCAGGGGGCAAGGGCATCATGCTCTCCAGTGAAGGGAGACAGGCTGGCAGGGTCCTCCAACAGGGCTGCATTCCTGGCAAAAGGTGGTTGTACAGATGGGGTTCGGCCCCGAGGACTGGGGGCGGGGGCTGTGGTTGCTGGCCCACTGGCCTGGGACCTAGAGTTTTCAGTACTTCTAGGGACCCACAAAATGTTTTCAATTTGACTGCTTTTCAAAGCAACAGAAGAAAAATTAATGCAATAATAATGAAGACCTAAGAGTGAATCTAGATTGGATCATAATTATCTTTCCACCATTGCAGTCATAAAGTGTGATTTTTAATATTTCTTTTATGGAGGAACAGGCCCGTGGAGACAAACGTGCGTGGGGCCCATGAAAGTCATGACGAGGCCCTGCAGCGGGCCACATCTTTCCTGGGGCTCTCAGGACCGGGCAAGACCCAGTTCTAGACCAGGGGTGGCTCCAGCCGCCTGTGGCCCCTTGACAGGTCCTGTGACTTTAGCAAAGAGGTGCTGGAGAAGACGGAACTCCCTGAGTTTCTACCCCCAGTTACCAGAGTCTTAGAGCCCAGAAGGAATGTGAGAGCAGGCTGGAACATGTCTGTTCTTCCTCAATTCCTCTGAAGAACGAGACCGATCTACTTAGGAAAAACACAGTCATTTGGAGACTCCCCGTGCAATCCAGCCAACTGTGGGCTTTTAGTAAAAGCTGCTGCGGCACGGAGAAAAACGTGACCATTTCTGGGAAATAAGCAGACCTCATGGAGAAGGCAGTAAGAGTATTTCGTTAAGCAATGAGAAAAAGGAAATTTTGTGGTAAAACAAAAAATCACCAAGGCAAGGTTGCTGTTTGGAATCGGGTTTCAGGAACCCTTTCAGAATGAGGTGTGGACCGAGGAACAAGCAGCTCCATGGCCGCCAAGGTGGACATCACAGTGTGCTTCGGGCAGAGGTTGGGGGATCTTGGAGTTTCTCTTAGTGTGGCAATTGTAACTGTGTAGGATGAGTTTCTTGATACCCTAATTCTTGGGTCTATGCTGAAAGAATCCCACATGGATAATCCTCTCTGTTCAGTCTCCCTGCCCTGGTCAGACGGGGTCTCTCACCTATAACTTAGAAAGCAAGTACTTTTGTGTATTTTTGCATCTAAAAATGAATAGGGTCTGAGTTAGAGAAATATGTATTTCTATATTATTAAAGATTCTTTTTATTGCAAATGACAAGAACCCAATCATACTAGCTAACAGAAGAAAGGGGAT